ATCCATCCTACCATCCATCCATCCATCCATCCATCCATCCATCCATCCATCCATCAATCAATCAATCAATCAATCAATCAATCAATCAATCAATCAATCAATCAATCAATCAATCAATCAATCAATCAATCAATCAATCAATCAATCAATCAATCAATCACTGTCTGTCTGTCTGTCTGTCTGTCTGTCGTAATGAAAGAAAATCTTACAATAAAAAGCCACAAGTTTCCTTCAAAGCTTAAATCAGACAGGAAGAATGTCTAATTGGGAAAACCACGTGGAAATATCAACCAGTTTAACTCCTTGCACTAAACAAAATGTTGTGGAGCCTATAAGAATGTATTTTATTTAAATCAAGTGAAATGTTATGCAATGGCCAAAGCATAGGAGATGCCAGAGAAACAGACAGCATAAATAAAGGTCTGGTTTGAATTGTAAGACGTTATTATTCAGAGGTAAAGTGAACTACAGAAGTAGACAGCACTCTATGAAGTACGCACTAAGCAGCTCTCTCTCTAGTTTTATGCTGACAGGCAAAACTGTGCTTTTTGAGGAGGCCATGCTATATAAGTGCTCTCTCTCTGATCCTCTCCATCAAAAAGGAAGGCAAAATCATCCTGTCACCGTTAGCATAACAAAAGCACAAAATCTGAGCTTGACTGCAGCAGCCCATGCTGTACGAACACCCCAAACTGGCAGAAAAGCACTGCGCCAAATACCACCAACCGCCACCATTTTTCATAGACGTAATTACCATTTGGCGGGAGGCGCTTTGCGGCAGCAGATGCCACGTTACGGGACTATGGTTCCCATTGCGATTACTGTGATTTACTTGGGTTGCCAGTGTCATAAATATCCCACCCTGGTGGCACAAGCACAGCTGGGTCCTGAGAGAAGATGGGACCCTCAGGAGAGTGGATTTGTGAATGACTGGATATACTGTATGTATGGGTCCAGGTTGGAGAGAGTGTTCAGTATATCCCAATACTTCTCTGCAAAGTCTAATCAGTAAGACAGTAAGACCCTTCATCAACATCCACAGAGGGATTATCACTGATACATACCTGATGTTCAATTATAGCCTGTTTTTTTGTTTTTTTTTTCTGTAAAGCTGCTTTGACACAATTTGCATTGTACAAAGTGCTATAGAAATAAAAATGGCTGGACACTTTTAAACTAAAGCAAGCAACACTAGGGGAAAACATATTGCTGTCTGGTTTACAGATCATGCAGAATTTTCTCTTTTAGAATTTGTTATTATATTACTGTTTCTAATATATATTAGGGTTATAATGAATCAGGGTTACTCTGTGATCCATGCGGATCACAACGCACAGTCCGGAACACAAGTGATCCATGGATTAATAACTTTTTTGAACTTATGGGTTAATCCAACATTTATAAATATTGCAGCAAGATCGCCAATTCAAACCGGCGCAACATGAATGACAAATGATAGTGATTTGCATATGTTTATTATTCCTTTGCAACGCTTCATTTAATCTGCGTTAGATTGAGAGTTAAAAAAATAGGTTAGTTACAATCAATTAAATTACACAGGGATAACAGTTCAACAGTTTAATTTTTCATACTAAATATTTTCCTTTTTTTCAGCTGGTTCTTTCCTGATTTTTATTTTTATTAAAATGGTTGTAAGTTCTGTTTGCTAAAACCAGTGGTTTTTGCTGTAATATTTTTGTGACTCACATTCCTAGTTACAAATATACAAATGTTGCACACACAAAAATAGGCCTATATAAACAAGAGCATATTGGCAACACAAAAAAAAGTGCAAAGTCTAACAAGCATAGGTTATAATTTATATAGTCATTTGATAATTGGTTTAGTTTAATATTAACTTCAGCTAAAGAGACTGGTGGACACAATGTTTTCAGCACAAGTCTATTCTTGGTTTAATTTTGGAGACTGCACTCAGAGATCATCCTTAATGTTCAGTTGTGGCCTGTTTTTATTTTTAATGAATTTGATTGCCATAAAGGTGTCAGAAAGTTTAACATCGTGCTGTAAAATCAGTCTGTGTTGTTGAGCTAACACACACACACACACACAAAAAGGTTGATGGCTTTTTATACGCATGTTGTTGCTTTGTTGCTTTTTTATGTAACTATTAACTACTATGTTTATCTTCTGAGGGTTATGGATAAAATATGGTAATTCTAATAGTATAATATGTAACAAAAATGTAATATTTCATAAAATGTTTTAGACTTTGGAAATCACCAATCAACCACTTCATTGTCCAGCTACCCCGCAAGGGGTCCCAACCCCCACTTTGAGAATCACTGCGTTACACCACTAATATATATATATATATATATATATAAATAAATAAAATTTAAAACTATTAAAACAACTTTTACATTTTTTACCTAATATTTTTGTTCTTCTTCCTCTTTTACTTGTATTATTATTATTATTATTATTATTATTACTTAACATTTTTTAATCTGTTTAACAAGCATTGCAGTAATATATAATAAAATGTTTCAAAATGAACTTAAATAAATGGTCTCACCTGTACTTCAGTGTAAGCAATGTAAGCACAAGGGCAAATATTCACAGGCAGTTTTTCAAACCATTACTATCTCTGTTTGAAATGTGCCATGGGGAGCTCACTGTTCTATTTTGAAATTGCATTTAATTTTCCTTCAGGCCATGTAAAGTACTGCACTTTGGATTAAAAAGTAAAGATTATTTTTTTAAATCACCCATTTAGTGGCTTGAAAACTTCACCAGAAAGCCAGAGTCAGGAATTCACATTTAGAGATAACTTAGATATCTAATTTTCACCGTTTTTCTGCATCTCATGTCTGTATTCAAAACTATGAAGGTTAGATTTAATAATGTGATTCTTGAGAATTTTTTTTTTTGATCGCAATAGTTTTTAAATCCAGAAACCCAAAACTGGACTAGTAGAAATAATGGATAAAATGTCTTCCTAATCTCTGTATTTGATTACTGGTCTAGTTTTAGACTTGTATTAGACTTCCACTGACAGCCCAAATTTAGCCTTGTGTTAGCGTTTTACATTTAGATGTATATTAGAAGCAAATTGCTTGGAGGATAATCAAGAAGATGAAGAAAAAGGAGAAAGAGACAGAAGTCATAATCCCTCCAGAATGATAAACACACAAAGTTTGATGCGATTCTGTTCCACATCTGTTCTTTCATGTCATTTTCGTTCTATCAAGTTCTATGTTACTTGCCTCTTGAGTTGAATGATATATTCACACAGGGTGAATGTCTCACTGGGGTTAATTATGTAAACATATGACCCACACAAAGACATTCACAAACACATGGTTTCTGGTGGATCGGAGGACAGAAGGGAGGGAGAGACTGGAACCGCTCACCGTAAATGAGGCTGTGACATTTTTATGTTCACGTGAAGGATTGCGGCATGTATCAGGTTCGTCGGTGATCGTAAATTAACAGGTGTTGTCAAAAGCAGTACAGAGACATGCAGCAAAATGATCAGAGCGATTACAAAGCGGTGCGCAGTTCTGGGTCCCAGACAACATAAACTCAGTGTGTCGACACACGCTCTTCAGTTTAGGCTAGACCATAATCAACCTTCAAAGTCTCAAGGATCACATTCACTCTGTAACAAACAGTGGAAATGCTTATTTTTAAAAAAAGAGATGCAATCCTGAAAGTAAAGGTTCTTGTTTGACATCAGAGGTTCCTTATAGAACCATTGACATTCATGGAACCTTTCCATTACTCAAAAGGTTATTTTACAGGGAAAAGGATTTAAAAAGGGCTAAAGACGATTAAAATGTTCTTCAAACTTAAAAAAGGTATTTTTATCCCTTTAACTAGCCCTCCATGAAAAACATGTTTAGATTGCATTTCTTGATTCCTAATGTCGCAAGTCAACACACTTAATGTGTTTTTTTTTTCAACACATCCCATAATTTCTTAAATATCAGGCTTTACCAAATGGTTGATGTGTTGATTTATGATAAAAGCACTGAGCTTTATATATATATATATATATATATATATAATTATTAAAATATGAAGTATAAGACCAAGACCAAAAAAATCTTTAAAATAAAGCTTTTTGGACACTAAATTACCTTTTTTTTAAAGTATGCCATAAATTTTCGTTTAACATGTTTTCTTTTTTTTTTTTTTTTACAATAAAATCAAAATCTAGTGTAGTAGCGCAAAATAATTATGTTTGTTTGATTTTTTTTTTTTAAACCAACAATGCTGTGTTTGCAAGGCATTATTTAAAACAGTCATTCTTCAAATGACTTTAGCAGTCATTATTTAACACAGTCAAAACATGGTCAACCGTTTGGTAGAGGGGCAGTCAAAGAGTTAAGAAGTGATCACTAAAAGGTTCTTTAGACAAAATAGTTATTTTACTGTATAGCATCACTGTGAAAATATATTTGTTTTTAGGAATGCTCCAACAAAAACAAATAAATTACTGCTGTAAATCCAAATAACTTTTTTTGAACAATGACTTAACATTTTTTTAATACAGTGAAAAAACAATGAACACAATTGAAGGGCACAAATAACAGATGAGCCTTGTCAAAATATCTTCTTTTGTGTTCCCCAGAAAAAGAAACCCATTCTGACATGTTGATTACATGATGCTGAATAAATGATTTCATTCCATTACTAAACATCATGCCAGCAGCAAGAACCTGGATGAGATCAAACCATACTTTCTGAACAGTCAACAATGACCCTTAGCTGACTATTTTCATACAGCATGATTAACAAACGGCCTCATTTCTGAACCATAATCTCAGAGGTCCTTCTAATCCAATCACTTACTCTATCAGTCAACCTGCCATAACTCAAAGAGATTACTTCTTATGGCCACGTCAATCCTATTTACACATGTATTGCAAATTCCACAACCACTGCCATCTCAATGAAAGAGGATACAGTATACTTGGAATATAGCTGATTTCAACAAGAGAGAGGGTTTAAAGCTTGGTTTACCAGCAACTCACCGGGTCTTTTTTCTAGCTTTCTTCCTCGACTGCCACAAAGCCGGACTTTGGAGATGAGGATGAGGATCTGCTTCTGGCAGAGTGACTTGTTGCTCTTGGGGCAAGGCTTGCGTTTGTTGGAGATCTGCCGGTTGGCCTTGGGGTCCTTGACTTCCCTTCTCTGCCGGATCAGTGAGCTGGCGAGGGCAGCCATTTTGCTGTGCCCCGCTCACCCGTGGGGCGCAGAAGGCGTCAGTGGCCTGCCCACCTGTCCGATCACCCAGGGTCACAGAGGAGAGGAGCCGGAGACGGCAGATGTTTGGACTACAGCGGGATCTCCCACAATAACCAAAGGAAGAATGCGTCACAACTTGACAGGGAACAAAAATGGGCCTGGTTTAGATGGGTACAGGGGGTGTGGCAAAACACTTGTGAAGTTCACAATAAACTTTAGCTATCAAAATAGTCAGAGAAACTTAAATTACCTGGTGGGGTGATTCTGATGAACAGCAGCTATCGTAGTTAGGATTGCTTATTTTAGATCTTGCTGCACAGTATGTAGACTGGAAAAGTGGCAGCAGATGATCCATGAAACTGTACTGGTATTCTGAAATATAAGCGAGCCATCACAGCACCATCATACTCTTCCTTTCCGGCTCTATTCCCTGAAGATGCCTCTCACTTCCATCCCATAATTTGGGGTCGGTTTTCAGAAACCTCTCAGGTTGAAAATCGTTCTACATATGATTTGGAAAAAGGCATTAAAAAGTCCAATCGTTTTATCCGTATGGTTCCAACTGCTAAAACGAAGAACATCAACACTAGCATGAAGCAAAAATGCAGATCCTACGAAGGAACAATACCCTGAGACAATCTTAGTGAAACTCCATTACCTGATTCCAAAGTATCGCATCCATGACACTATGACTGCAAAAAATAAAAAAGACAGACACATTGACGAAAAGTCAAAAACTGATGTCATCAACCCTGGACCTCATGTCTGTGGATGATCAGATGGATAGGGATAAGAGGAATCGGAAGTTCTTTTCCCTTTCAGCCCTTCAGACATTCCCCTTTGCTCCCTTTCCCCAAGCTCCCGAGAGAGTGTTTGTAAATTCCAGCAGCTTCCGCAGATAGAGGTGACATTCATGAACGAGTGAGAGCGCGAGAGAGCGGAGGGGAGCACCAAGCCTCCCCCAGACTCCCGTAAGGCAACCAGGCGGCAAGCACTGAGGAACCCGTAGCTCCGTGTCCTTCACACCACTTGAGAGGAGAGGTGGGAGGGAGGCACGGATGGAGGGATGAAACGGAGGAATGTTAAGGATGGATGGTGCACATATCTGTTTGTCCGGCTTTACATGCTGTAAAGGTCCTGTTTGAAGAAGGTCTGCTTTGGGGTCTGTCCCGGTGCTCCGGTCCTCTGTTCTAGCCCAGTTTTCACTGCTGAAAGTATTCTCACCCCTGCAGGCGTGCGTAACAGAGTCTCTTAAGCAAGGCACCTCTGAATCTGCGAAACTGTGAGAGTTTATGTGTGTGTGTGTGTGAATGAGGGTGATTGAGAGAGTGTGTGAATGTGTGACTCTCTGTCTCTCTTTTTTGCTCTCCCTCCCGTCTCCGCTCACAGTGAGTTACGGAGCCAACACTGGCAACATGCTTTGCTTTACTCCCTCGTTCTCTCTTTCCATCTCTTTGTAAACCCTCCCCTTACCTTTTTCTGCCCTCCCTCTCTGTCACTCAGAACCCTCCTTCTTTTCCGATCACTCAAAATCCCTCCTTCTCTTCATGCCCTCACACCCACCCCTCTCAGTCCTCTCATTCCTCCCCCTCTCCTGCTCTCTCTCTTTCGCTCTCTCTTTCCCGTCGCTGGCTGCTGTTGTGGTCTGGAGCGTTAAAAAATTAAACCTGCCTCATGCGTCCTTAAAGCGACAGATGAGACAGACAGAGAGAGAGAGAGACAGCGAGAGAGAGAGAGAGAGAGAGAGAGAGAGAGAGAGAGAGTCCTTGATTACACTGTTTCCTAAACCCAAATGCCACTTAAAGTAACAGATATCAACACAATGAAACACTAGTTATAGAGTTGTGACCTTACATCAGTGCTACTACAAATCTGAACACAAACACGATCACAGGTCCATTTATGGTATTGAAAACAGAATGAGTATTTTATTATGCCTGCACTAGGGGTTGTGTGCCAGTCAAAACTGAAATGAGAATGCCTTTACAATCCAATTTAATAATTGAATTGTGAAAGCGAACAGTGTGTGCAACAACAGTGGATAGAATAGATAGAGGGCTGTCTCACTCTTTCTCAGGAAATGTACCCAGAACTACTGGAGGAATTAACCGCTTTTTTGGCATGTCGGTTATACAGGAACTGGGAACACTTTTAGATGTACACTTGTTAGGCTGTACAAACTCCTTTTGGAGGAAGTTAATTAGTTACTACTATAGGGAAATGAAAGAACTATTAAATTTTGATATTAACTCAATAGAAGAACATTTCTATAAATAATTGCAGTATATATAGCTCATATATTCTGTTTAATTTATTAAAGTCTGTATGAACCGGAAGTGGTAACACTTTGTTTTGATGGTCTATTTGAGAATTAATAGACTGTCTGCTTAATACCTGCTGATACTGCTCCTTCAACAGATATTTTACTGACTATAAGAAACTTAGCAAGTACATGTCAACTTACACTAACCCTAACCCCAAGCCCAACCTTACAGTCTACTTATAATCTAATGAGAATGTAACTTAAGTTCAACAAATGGACCATCAAAATAAAGTGCGCCCTTGGAAGTTGCAGAGACTTTTATTTCAACTAAAACGGAATATTGAGAAGAGGGCGGGGGTTTTGCTTTGCTAATAATTTCCTCATAGACAATTAACGGTTTATTTAATAAGGGACATGGTTAAAATATTGGGGTTGAAGCTGTCAAACTGACACAGATGTTCAGACTTTGATTGAAGATTACCAAAACAACCATTTGTTTTGGTGAATTAAGTTAATTGTTCACCTAAAGAACATAGATTTTAACCTGCAAGTGATTTCTTCACTGATGCATGTCTAAATAAATTTGTCATGAAACGGGTGCTGAATGACTCTGTATAAATTATAATATTTTAACAAAAAATATAATTGTATAACACATTAATGTACAAATTAATGCAATTTACTGTATGTGTTGGCATATGCATATATGATATATTTACAGTGAGTTGATTATTGTATCTATACTGTTAATGGTTTTTGCAAATTACACAGTATTTAACTGTAATATGAACTATATTTTATTGTAAGACAGTTATGCAGTACATTACTGTATTTTAAAGTTGCATTTTAAAAAGTACTGTATATTTTACAGTACAGACATACAATACTGTAAATATATATACAACAATATAAATAGTGCTATGTATATGCTGTGACCGTTTACAATTCTCAAATTACACAGTATTTAGCAGGTATATAAACTGTATTTTACTGTAGGACAGTTATGCAGTGTTGCTGTATTTTAAAGTTGCATTGTAAAAAAAATAATGTATATTTTACAGTACAATACTATACTGTAAATACATATACAATAATATAAACAGTGACATGTATATGCTGTAACTGTAAACAGTTTTTGTGAATTCCCTAGTATTTAACTGTTATATGAACTATATTTTACTGTAGGACAGTTATGCAGAATGTTACTGTATTTTAAAGTTACATTATGAAAATTACTGCATATTTTACGGTACAGACATACAATACTGTAAATACATATACAATAATATAAATAGTGCTATGTATATGCTGTAACAAAAGTTTTTGCAAATTACACAGTATTTAACTGTAATATGAACTGTATTTTACTGTAGGACAATTATGCAGCATGTAACTGTATTTTAAAGTTAAATCGTTAAAAAAAAACTACATTTTACAGTACAGACATACACTACTGTAAATATATATATATATGCACAACAATCTAAATAGTGCTATGTATAAGCTATAATTGATTTAAAGTAATTTACTGTAGATTTACTGTAGAAATAAATAGCAAATTATATTAACAGTTTAGGCTCTGCTATTATTTGCAATGTTTTTACTCACAGCATTAGCTGTGATACCTGTAGATCTATATTATTTCTAGATTAGCTCTAAAACGTTGTAATTATCATTTACTGAAAATCATTTGTTCACTGAAGAGCTGTTTACTAATAGAATAAGATTTTTATGTGTGGTTCTTACCTGCTGTAACAAAACATACTGAATGATTCCAAAATCAAGGCACATTATGTTTGTGTATTACATCCTCATTTAGTATTTTGCTTAATTCAAAAGCAATAAGTATAAATCAAACACAAAAAAAATTAAATGAATTTCACTTGCTACTATTAGTATTAAATAACCCACATTCATCTCTCAAATGTTACCTGTAATAAAAAACTAATTTCCACACTTTATTTTTTCTTCCCCTCCCCTTTATACACCCGATTGATCACATTTCCTCTCATATTCATGTCTGAGCTGATAAAAACATAATTCATTCAACTCAGACAGAAAACCAGGAAAGTGACTTGCGTCAGCAGCTTTTTAACTCTTTTAAAAGGACAGAAATGCTCTAAAAACCTTCTTTAAAACACATGCTGTGAATACTGATGTTTTTTTCCCTGCTTTTCTACTTCCGCTTCTCGGTTCAGTGGGGAAACATTGAGCAGCAGAAGTGTGCATACAGGTTGAATGGGGCTCTGATCCCTTCACTAGCAGACTAATTCAAATCAACGTTATAATAAGGTTTTATAACCCACAGCAAGTTTGAATTAGTCATGGCCTGTGACGCCTCTATTTGCGTGTTGCTCCAGCGCCAGCACACTTATTGATGCGGTGGAGGATTTTCTTTCTAGGCACAGAGTCAAAGCCATTTTAATCAGCAGAGTTATGACTGTGACATCCAGTGGCGATGCTGGACAGAGACGAGTCAGCGAAGACATGCAAAACATCTGGGAAAGGACAGGGATAAAGGAATGACTTTGACGTGGATGGTTACATGGAAAGATTCCCATGTTGTCAAAACCATGATGTAACTGGCGTTCAGTCTGTCAGAGATGATCATAGTCAACTGAGAACCTAGAGGATCTGAAGCGGGGCTATGCATGCTTGTCAGTTTGTTTGTTTTTTGTTGCATGAAGATCATCAGTTGAAAAAATAAAATAAATAAATACATTTAATAGCGAGACAGTGGCTCAGTGGATAGCACTATTGGCTCACAGCACGAAGGTCACTGGTTCAAGTCCTGGCTGGGTTAGTTGATGTTCCTGTATGGAGTTAGGAGTATGTTCTCCCTGTGTTCGTGTGGGTTTCCTCCAGGTGCTCTGTTTTCCCCCACAGTCCAAAGACATCCGCTATAGGTCAATTGAATAAACTAAATTGGCCGTATGTGTGTGTGGATGAGTGTTTATGGATGTTTCACAATACTAGGTTGCAGGCGGAAGGGCATTCACTCTGGAAAACATGCTGGATAAGATTTGGGACTTAAGCCTGGTTTTTACTTTTGCATCTAGTGATCAGCGTGACCCATCTATACTTCTGCATGCTGTTTGTGTTGCTCTACACAAACACTTCTGAAATGCTAGCTGGCAGTAAGTTTTTATGCTCCTCTCTGTCAATTTTTTTCGCCGATGTTTTTTTTCTTTTTCTGAACGCTACCTTAATGTAGAAGTGACTCAAACTCGCTCATTTTGATGCGGGAAACAACAACTTTAATCATAAGTTAACACAAAATAACAGTTTCCATCCCCTTCACAGGACTCGACACCTGTAAACACTCGCTTCAACGGGTTCGCGCAGCTCTCTGTCCCGCCCATACTTGTCAGCGCTACCAAGAAAATAATAATAATATGCTTTCAATAAAAAAATAAAATAAAATAAAATAAAACTAACTTATAAAATACAAACGTAAGGTACAGTTTTGTCTGTAGGAAAAGAAGATACACATATCAGAAAAACACACCATCAGAAAAAATAAAACAAACACCAAATATAAAAATAATATAAAACCTTAATGAAAACATAAATGCTAAAAAGTTTCAGTGAGGTTTAGAATAAAATTTGAGAAAAAAAAACCACACAAATAGCTTAAATGAGAAATTCAATAACATCTTAAAGTCAAGTGCTATTTTGGGGTTTCTGCCTGGATTTTGACTTTCCAAATTCCCATATTCAGAGGTGTAAATGTCACGGACCCGGTACGCATAGTTACAATAGAAGTGATAAAATTGACCAATAAAGCTACTATTGTTTTTCAAAAACAAGCATGTGTTGTATTCTGTCTATAGCAGTACAAGTTACAGCTGCAGTCTCTATGATGTCTTTGAGGAAAGTTTGGGTCTTTCTCAAGGGTAGGACATAAACGGCTGTATTTCCTTTTTGGCAAAAGTGAATGCTTTAATTTTAATAGTGCATGTCCAGTGAAGGATGGAGACTGCACTGGCAGAGAGGACAGACCTCTTCCATTTTAATCAGTCTGTTAAAGCGCAGCATTGAACTCCTGCTGTTATATGGACTTTACATCATGACTACACTATATCTATCAGATTGCAGAAATCATTAAAAAGCACTAACACACAAACATTCATACACATATTTACATAGCCCGAATTCAGAGCAGAAATTTACTGAAAATAATACTAGAATTGCTTTCTATTGAGCACTATTAA